ATATATGTATGATTTTTGTGAATTATTAAATGTGATTAAAAACCTCACACTGTCTCAATAATCGCCAGCCCAGTCCACCACCAGCTCCATCCATTGGAGTCTCCTGGAGCCCCCAGTGCTCATCTTACTTCAGCAGTCAGGCCAGGGAGAAAGTCCAGACTGTTTTATTCCCTTCTCTGCATTGTGGTCTGTCTCTTCAGCTTCTCTGTAACTTTTAATTTTCCTGTCAGTTCCCTTCCTGGGGATCTATTTCCATTTCTCTCTCTATCGAATTACCATTTTCCATTGTCTGGATTCTGAATCTTGGAGAGACTGAATTGCTGTTGCTCACCACTCTGTCATTTTTGTATATTTCATTTCTAAAACAGTTCTGAAAGTTTTCTTTTGTGAGTGTCTTTATGATGTGTGGTCAAAGACATGGTGAAGGCTGCTGCTGAGTACCATTCAATGGAAAGGCAGGCTTGTAAAAGCATTACAGTATGTCTTCAGCCTCCTGATTCACTGGATGTGGCACTGTGTGACTTCTGGCTCTTCCCCAAAGTCAAAACAACTATAAAAGGAACATCGAGGCAGCCATGACACACAACTATAAAGATACTCATGAAAGAAGATACTCTTAAAAGATACTCAGTCTAGTACTGCTTCAGAAAGTGGAAAGAATACTATAGTAATTAATTTTTTTTTTTTACTATACCAAAAAAAGAAAAAAATCTTTAAACGTTCATCACATTTTTGGTCACACCATGTAGTATTTCATTAACACAGAAATGAAAGTATATGTGTCTATATATACATATGAGATTATTATTCTCTACCAGTACATGCAAAGCTGCCTTATTCTTATCAGTAGCTATGTAGTATTTCACTATACCATTTGTACCCCCTATTGTACTTTGCTTTCTTATATATTTTTTATAAACAATACTACAATGACAATTTTTTACAAACACCTGTGCACATATGGGTTTCTTATAAGGTAATTGTACTTCTTTTTTATTTCAGAACTTATTTATTTATTTATTTCTGGTACCGGGGATCGAACTCTGGCCCTTGTGCTTGTGAGGCAGGCAGCGGCATCACTGAGCTAAATCCTCGGCCCTCAGAACTTATTTTAAAAAATTGATTAATTGATTGCAGTGCTTGAGCTCAAACCAGGGTCTTGCACATGCTGGGGAATTTCTCTGCCATTGAAACACATCCTCAACTGATAGTGTTCATTTTAAATTCCCTTGATAATTGTCAAATTACTATTCAAAGAGAGAGAAAAATTTCTGTGCTTTCCAAGAATGTGGTGAATAGAATTTAAGTCTTTTGGCAACAAAGTAGAACTCTTTTCGCTAGCTTGTTAGGCTTTGTTGTTGTTTTAAAGCCCATAGGAAGGGCGTATAGCTCAGTGGTAGAGTGCTAACCTAGCATATGTGGGTCCTGGGTTCCATCTCTAGCACATACACATACACAAAAGCCCATTGTGGACTGGGCACGTCTATGCAGAAACATGGCAGGTTGGCAGGTCTCTTAACCCCCCTCCCCCCAGCCCCATGGCAGGTGTAGACATCATTTCACTTACATTCCACCAGAGAGAACTTAGTCACATGGTTATACCTTATTGCAAGGGAAGCTGGGAAATGTAGTCCACCCATCATGTTCCATTAGAATTCTATAATTATAAGAGAAGGCATGGATAGGATAAACATTAGTTGGGCACACCCCACCTAATTGGCAAGTTGTTGGACTTCATCGTGAGGTAAATTTAGGGTTGCAGAAAGACTCATTTATACATTTGACAGCTCTCCTCACAAAATTCTCTGTGAGACACTCCTGCAGTGGGTCTGGAAGGATTCAATGAAGACCTATGATATGACTTGCTCTAGGCTGAGTGTGTCACCTGTCTCCTTCCTCACCGCAAGAATGAGTTCCCTGAACCCCATATAACAGACAGTTTAAAGGGAAGGGACTTAAGACAGAGGATTCAAATCCATGTCTGTGTGATTGCAAAGCCCTACCCTTCCTTTCCACAGCTCTGGCCATGGCAATGCATACTACAAACACTGCAAATACTGGCTAGGCACCTCACCTTGTCTTGTCTCTTTTAGCATGTACACTCCACACGGACACATGTACTTGGCCTAATTGGAGTCTCTTCTCATTTCCCAGGCCCTCTTTCAGCTCGTTGGCCAGCTGCCGTGGCCTTCATGGCACTCTACCCCAGCAGTCAGCCCAGGGCTTCTCTCACCCATGCAATCCCAAGCTACCACTGCTGAGGGCCTCTGCAGCCCACTCTTTGGGACCTATGCATTCCCCACCTTCAAGTTCCAGTCCCGCTGTGAGAGCATAGAGTGGAGACGTATTAGTGCTTTGGATGTGGATCGTGTGGCCCGGGAGCTAGATGTGGCCACTCTGCAGGAGAACATCGCTGGTGTTACCTTTTGCAACTTGAGCCAGGAGGTGTGCAGCCGTTGTGGGCAGCCCGTGGACCCAGCGCTGCTCAAGGTACTGCGCCTGGCACAGCTTATCATTGAGTACCTACTGCACTGCCAGGATTGCCTGAGTGCCAGTGTCACCCAGCTGGAGGCACGGCTGCAGGCCAGCCTGGACCAGCAGCAGCATGGCCAGCAGGAGCTGGGCCGCCAGGCTGATGAGCTCAAAGGTGTACGGGAGGAAAGCCGCCGGCGTCGAAAGATGATCAGCACCTTGCAGCAGCTGCTAATGCAGACAGGCGCCCACAGCTACCACGCGGTGAGCCATCTCTGTAGGGTGGGGAGAGTGGAGGGCCATGCACCGGGCTAGCAGACCACCTGGCTAGCACCACCCTGAGCCACCCACAAGGCTGCTGTGGGCCATTTTCGCGGGTTAGGAGATAGTTTTAGAGATGCTGTGTTTAGAAAGAGCCTGAGCAGTCTGATCAGGTCTCTCTCTCTCTCTCTCTCTCTCTCTTTCTCTCTCTCTCTCTCTCCCTTTCCCTCTCCCTCTCCCCCCCTTCTCTCTCTCTCCCTTTCCCTCCCCGCCCCGTGTGTGTGTGTGTGTGTGTGTGTGTGTGTGTGTG